CAGAGCTTACTGGAAAACAAGTGGGAGACAAATGGGCAAATGGAAGACAAGTATGAAATCATGCGGCCAGAGCACTGAGAGCATCCAGAGCTTACTGGGAGACAACTGGGAGACAACTGGGAGACAAGTGGGAGACAAATGGGAGACAAATGGGAGACAAGTATAAAATCACGCGGCCAGAGCACTGAGAGCATCCAGAGCTTACTCGGAGACAAGTGGGAGACAAATGGGAGACAAGTGTGAAATCATGTGGCCAGCGCACTCAGAGCATCCAGAGCTTACTGGGAGACAAGTGGGAGACAAATGGGAGACAAATATGCGGCCAGAGCACTGAGAGCGTCGAGAGCTTACTGGGAGACAAGTGGGAGACGAATGGGAGACAAATGGGAGACAAGTATAAAATCATGCGGCCAGAGCACTGAGAGCATCCAGAGCTTACTGGGAGACAAGTGGGAGACAAGTGGGAGACAAGGGTGAAATCATGCGGCCAGGAACACAAGCCCGGAGACAAACTCAAAATCATCTGGCCCGAGCACGCACCCCTTTAAAAGGAGTAAGAACCCCTCACAGGTAAACCTGTTTGGGGAACAAACAAACAAACAAACAAACAAACAAATCAACAAACATTTGAGGATGGCTACAACCAGCTACGATGCGATGATGGAGCAAAGGTTTTGAACCAAAGGTCCAAGTCTTGCATGCTCACTGCATGCAGATCTGATTTCTCCACTCAAGTGCAAGTGATCTTCCAATTCTGGCAAGTCGAGCAAGCTTGTAGCTCCTCGCAAAATCTGCGGCAGATCGTCAAAGCACCTCTCTTTCATTTTGTCTAGATGATCTGGTGGTGCTTCAGTCTCGATGATCAAACATGCAGAACCTTCTGATACAGAGCGGCTCTTGCGTACCCAAAGCCCCTGCTGATTGGCATGCACCTCTTTGTGATCCAATTTTCTGGGCAAGTGGTTGCCCAAGACCAACAGTGCCAGGTAAGCGCATTCCACCGAAGGCCTTCTCTGTGGCAAGACTAGTATGCCTTGGATCAGAACATGCCAGGACACAAGCACACCCACTCTCTACTCATTCTCTCACTTCCCTGGACTAGATCTGCACTAACCTGTTCATCTCAACAGATGCACCGACTGTGAATCACCTTTCTTTCAGAATTTGCTTCAAAACTAGAATTCAATGTGATGAATTTTGCGAGGATGCCTTTCTCTCTTCCTCGGCTAGCCTCACCAGCTGGTGTTAAGCGAACAAATGGCCGGCCCGTCCAAGCTTCTTTTCGAAGCATTGCGAGTGTTGCGACATGATCCTGCCAAGCTTTGCTGCTACATCACTGCGAGCTGCCTCGACAGCCACTTGCTCCTCTAGATTGAAATCTGTTTTGATTTGAGCCCAGTGCATGCAAAAGACTTTCATGTGAAGCTGTCTTGATCGTAGTCGTAGTCGAAGTCAAAGCCGCTGTGGTTGTGATTCCGGTTGTGGTTTTTGTTGTTGTTGTTGCTCTTGTTGTTTTTGTTGCTGTCGTCGTCTTGCTCAAAAGCGGCTGCAATTGACGGAAGATCTGTGTCAGAAACTTGTATTCGCGAAGATGAACCAATGATGTTCAGACAAAGCCAAAATCAATCAACAACAAAATCATCGTGAAAAAGATGCATGTCGTCTGTTGACTGCTTGATACACACTCCTGGTTTGCATAACTGCTCCGGATGGCCACTGCCGTTTTGCCTGTTGATCGAATTCTTTGGGTCGGGTTATATGAAGCTTTCATGCTCCGGCTTTTGGCTTCTCATGGACGTGACCGTCTTTTCCTATTTCAGGAGCAGTCTGACTGTGCTGTTGTGGAGATTGCAATTGCTATATTCCGAAAGAAAGTACTGTACTTGTAACATCTTGTAATGTGCAAGGGGAGTGCCTGCTCCAGTGCTTAAAAGGGATTAGCTGTTCGTGCCAAACAACCAACACCAACACCACTTTTTTCTGTACTGCCGTAGTTGTAGCGTCCTTGCTCCTAGTAGCGATGCCAGGAGCCCCTAGTAGCGTCCTTGCTCCTAGTAGCGATGCCCTTTGCTACTAGGAGCGTCCTTGTTCCTAGTAGTACCCCACAAACAGCCAAACACCAAATCTCCGTGATGCCGGTCGCCTAGGCAAGTGATGCCACGCTGATCTTTGGCCTCTAAATCTCTTTTACCAGCAGCCTCAGTCCTTAGCCATAGATGAACGCACAACACACACACCACTTCGCCATATGTTGCTCACCGCCTTTCTTTTTGGGGAGACGAAAAACGAATCGAAGCAATCACCATGGTTTTGGCAGACTGGTCTCCTGGTCTTGAAATTCGCTGGTGATAACCTTCGCTGGTTTGGCCGCTGGTCTTGCCATCTCACTCGACGAGACCCTTCAAACCTCAGAGACCTCAGAACTGTGCCTTTCACTTGGACGAAAAGTGAGGTCCCTGGCCCCTGGGTCCCTTGGGGGCCCGGGCTCTGAAAGGTAACGCTGCACGGCGCGGAGGTCCCCGAATTTGCAGGCCTCTTGGAGTGTCAGCCTCAACTTCGCACTCGTTCCGTGTCGTTTGGCTATGTGGAACAGACGGCCCTGGCCCTAAAAGGCATGTTTCAAGCGGTCGGATGCGCATCTTCTCTGAACGATTCTGGCTCAAAACAGACGCCATTGGCTGTGGAGTACAGGCTGAGGAATCACCCAGGCACCACGCGGTGTTTTGCGGATGCGCTCCGCATTTCTTAATGCCTGAGATGGGACCTCAAACGCACACATGCCAGCAACGCCAAGCAGCAATCAAATTCCACACACTGGGATATGGATCCACAATGCCCATGTGTTTTTCCTCTGAATTGAAAATGCCACGTGGTGCGTCAAGTTGACATTCTGGATCGTGTTAATGGTTGCAGACACTACCGATTATGCCGATTGGTTGATCCATATGAAACGAGAAATGCGCCCACACCGAGAAATGCGGTCCTTTTGGGACCCGACTCCGCCCATCTTGTTGCTGATCTTTTGCATCAGCTCTTTGTCTTCCAGGTGGTCCCGTATCTCGGACCGGGCTGAGCATGCGCCGGCTGAGCATGTGTTTTCAGGGAACGGGCACATGTTTGGGAGCTGAACTTCAAAGGTCACGCTTTTTAAGGCATGACCCTCTCCTCAGCTCTCCCTCTGCTCCTGCCTGCTGGACTTGGTAGTCCTTGATGGATGCAAACCTCGCAGCGAAATAGTGCAAAACCTCCAAGAACCGAACTTGGTGCTGGTCTCCAGAAGATTGGAACACAAAACAAAAGCTATCTGAACCTGTCTATATATTATATATCGTGTATATATGTTGGGTCTATCCTATTACCTGTAACAGTGGATGGTGATGGTTAGTAAAGGCCTTATTCAAAAATGATGATAATTGTTTACTGACTGTTACAGGTAATTAATAGGACTGACAGACCCAATATATATTGTCGGTAGCAACCGGAATCGTACTGTCCACACGCTCTTTTCACTGCGAAAGCGAGCACGGTATAGCTCAAGGGCCCTAGGAGCCAAGCGGCGGCAGACACAACATAGTGTGACAACCTGGCTCAACAGAATGAGATCCTACCTCAAATTCACACTCAACCTGTTCTACAGGTGTCACACGGCTATACATTGAAACTCTTGTGTCTTCCTAAGGCATTGGAGAAATCTACTTCTGCTTCTGTACAGTGTAGTGGCACTCCTTCAGCACTCGAAGTAGCAGATCTGGCTTCATGGACTTCGTCAGACAGTCCGACACCATCGTACTGGTGGCGATCCAGATCAACTTGTCTCCTCCATTCTCGAAAGCAATCCATGTTGGTCTTCCTTCTTGCCACAAATTCTCATGGATTCCTTGCAACTCGATACCAAGGCGCTTGTCACTCACCTTGGCCAGGACTTCCTGATTGAGGTGGTCAGAAAGCGAACGGCAATCAGTCATCGCCAAATGCGGAATGCATTCTCGGGCATCATCTTCCCATGTCTTCAGACTGCGAATCTTACCCTTAATCTCTGCAATCACACCTCTCAGCTTGTCACCTGTCTCGAGTCCGTTCTGGAGGGAATACGTTTCGGCCTGGAGAGTGCTGCGGCAGACTCTCTTAATTGTCGTGGATCCAAAAGACAATGGCATCACCTTATAGGTGGTCGTCTTGTCATCCTTGATCTCCTTGAGATCACCCAGAAAATGGATCCTGCCCTGTTGCGACTTGTAGTTCTTCTCGTTGGAGAAGGAGGCATCTGTGACCGTGATCACACCAACTTCACTCCATTGGAGATGAGCCGCAGGAAAACACAATGCCACATCGTGACCTTTGTGTGCCAGGACAACGACTGCGTTAGCGTCTGCCAACGTGGACACAGTTGCATCTTTAATGCTAGACTGCAAACGGCTTACCCTGTAACCAAGGTCAGGCCTGGTCTGTCTCGAGATCCAGGCGAGCGATCCGGTGATCGATCTGAGCTTCGTGATGTCTCCTTGCTGAAGACGCTCACTGCCTAGCCTAGATCCAACATCTGCTCCATGAATCTTCCTAGTGTTATCTGCTGTGTCGACTTTGATGACCTTGTCATCTCCTCGCACGAACTGCTTCCCACAATATCGAAAGCTGTTAGTGTCTGAGCTGCCGACACTGAACTTGGCAAGAAAAGACTTCATCACTTCCTCGCCTTCCGGAAGAAAACTATAAAGCAAGTCGTCCACGTGAGTGCACATGAGGGCACAAGCATCTCCTCCCTGCTCACCTGGGAGGTAGTACAATCCTGGGAAAAACTGGCTTGCCTTCAGGCCGCTCTTACGTGCATCGGCATCCAAACGCAACCAAAAGCCTCTTCCTGAGTCCGTGATCCCGTATACAGGGACCCTCACGAGAAAAAGGACATTGGGTTCTACACCTGGCAAACCTCCTCTTGGCTGACGCATGAGAAGGACGCGATCCAATGGTCGTCCCTGGAAATACGCCGAGGTGATATCAGCTGAATGGATGTCGGCCTGATGACAGGCTGCCCAACTGCAGACGAGACAGTGCATCTCGACATCGGCCGTTGGACTATCTGACCTCAAACCCTCTGTCATTTCAAAGTTCCCGCACGAAACTAGTCTGCTTTTATACATGGGCTTGTAGTCAGGGTCTCTCCCCTTCTTGTACTCTGCCTTGTCTACATCCACCCATTTGGATGGAATGCATTGGTGCCCTTCGTCAATGAGCTCTTGCGCTTGTTCTGGGGTCAATGCCACTACTGCTCCGAAATCTTCAAATTTGGACCATTCCTTTTGCCTTGTTTCCTGCAGGGCTTTCTGCACTTCTGGAGGCGCAGATTCATAGTGAATGCTCTTTAGAACCTTCTTACCTAGCTCTGCTTCATCCTCAGTCTGGGCAAGAAAACTAGCCCACATGGCATGTGCTTCTTCTCGATCTTGCTCTGGTAGCTCTCCGTCTCTCTGGCGTGCTCTCTCAAAATGTTCTCGAAGAGAAGCTGGCAAGTCGTTTAAATGATCATACACATTAGGCCATGCATGTGAAGCACTCGTGGACTCCCTGCGGGATGGTTGCAATGAGGTACCGCGTTCACTCTCCGGTTCGGCGACACGGGGCCTCACATTGCGACTATGCTCATTTCCTGTGTCAGGGAACGGACGTGAAACGGAGCTAGCGGACCTACTCAACTCTTCAAGCGCATCTTCACCTTCGGATTGGTCTTCATCAAAGAAATCCGGTCTGATTCCTACATCTAACTCATCATCTTCTGGAACAGGGGGTAGTGAACCAGCATCCGGAAATTGGGGTTCGGTTTCTTGAGATTCGATGTGTATTGGGGATCCGGGTTCGCTCGGATCTGCACGTGCATCAAGGAAAGACTGCTGAACACCTTCCTTGACAACGTTTTCGGGAAAAACAGGCTCACCATGCAAAACAGCATGAGCTAGTGCTTCGGTCGGCGTAGCAATCTTCACATTTTGATTGGCGACCAACACTGGAACATTTCCACACAACAACCACAAATTCCTTTCACCTTCATGGCCTATCACCCGACTAGTGGGACTCCATGTGGTGCCCCCCCTTTTGATTGTCTCGACGAAAGGTCACTAGATCACCTACTGCATACTCCCGAGGAAGACTGGAAGCATTGCGAGTAAGCGCACGGGACACCCTTGACGAACAATCTAGGTGAACAAATGCTTTCTGGGCTTCCTGCCTGGCCATGTGCTGTAAGGCGAAAATGCTCTCTGGGTTGTGACGGGCTTCAATAGCTCCAAGCTCGGCAAACCGTTCTTCAGACAATGGGCTCGGATCTGATCGGGGTCCTTTTCCAAGTACCCATTGACTAGGCGAGAAACCTCCGACTCTACTGGAGTTGTTCTTAGTAGCTACTACCTCGAGCAGTACCTGCTCAACCTGTTCTCTGCCAACAGCGCCTGTCTCTTTGCAAACCTTCCTAAAGAGTGACTTGACAATGCCTCCATGACGTTCCACACGACCAAGATTCTCCGGGCTTTCCAGAGGGGTGTGGTACACTTGGATTCCATGTTCGTCCATGTACTTCTTCATGACACCTCGGTTGTGCAGACCTCTGTCACATGCAATGTTCACAGGATGGCCACACCATGAGAACCAACGCTTCCTCAGTGCTTTCAGACATTCGGCAGAAGACGGTTGACCAGCACCAAAACGAACAACCTCACATAGCTGAAAGGTAGTGCCCAAACAAACCATGTTCAACACTTGGAACTTGTCACCTGAAATGTCGTGAACTTCAAACACATCAATTCCTACAGTGTGGTTGAACGAGTAGTTGTTAGGCAACGCTGTCTTGTGCGTGGCCTTCTTCTGGGATGTTGCTTCACAAGTTTCGCATCTGTGGATCCTGACAGCATCGATGAATTCCTTTCGAACCTTTGCTGCACGAAGGAGATGGATCATCGTCTGTTTGGGGACGTGTCCAAATTGCCTATGCAATCTTCTCACACCAATCCTCACACGTGCAGGCAACTTGCGCCACATCCGGCGTCGTTCGGCTTCATCTGCTGGCAGGCCTGGGATGTCTACTTCATCGACCAGTGTCTCTTCCGAGATCAGGTCTTCTACCGGGTTCACCTGAGCACGGTCATCATCATCCCAGATGGCATCGAACTGCTGTTCATCGTCCATCACCTCTTCCTGCAGTTCACCAACAAATGCAATAGACATCTCATCATCCAAAGTTGTATCATTGGTCCATTCACCTAACCAATCAACAAACTGCCAAGACAAGACATCATTCATGGTCTGTCCTCGAAACCACGATTCGAAAAGCTCAGTCCACTTGGGATCATTGCAGGTGAATGCCAAGTCATGGTCGTTGATATGGGGAATCTGTGGAAATTCATGTTCCTCCCATCTCGGGGTAGTTGCAACGTCAATGTGCAAAAACCGGCTACCACTCATGTCACAATGGGATTCTACTTCACCCAAAATCTTACCATGTCTCAAAGGATCTGTACTCCGTTCATACTCGATGGCAATGACGATGTTCTTGTAGTCTTGCAAAACATCATACCAAATCTTGGAGTCCTCTTCAGGATTGAGGTACTCAGCTCCCACACCGACGTCAAAAACGTCTGCAACACCATCTGCTGCTTGAAGCTCCTGAAAGATGCGGGGATGCGAAGTAATGACCAAGGTTGGAGGCTCAGAAACTGGGACGTCCTTCAGACCAATGCTGGATTTGACCAAGGCATCTTGATGGTTCAATCGGTCAATGCCCTCCAAGACTGCCCTCCTATGCTTCTTACCCATGGTGGTTCTCACATTGGGGTCAATTTGCAATGGAATGGACAAGACTCCTGAACTACTTGGCTGTGCGTTGGGATCTGGAGGGACTTCCGAATCGGTTTCATTGCTATCATCCAAATTGATCTCAACCTGTTCTCTCCTATCGAGGTCCCATGCCATGTGTGCTACTGGCTCGTAACTTGCGGACTCTGTGGATACGGGACTGGTTGGCGATTGTGGCTCAGACTCTGGACGAACAGTTTGAGAAATAATGGACCCTTCTGGTGTTCTTGTGTCCTCGGAACCTGACGTCTTGGATGATTCCCTAAGTCTTCTTGGCTTTGGGGGGAGTTGGCGGAACGGAAGAACGAACATCGATCTTTGGGGCCGGGGCCAAAACCACGCTCTGCTGCAGCGCCATATATACCTGCGGGCTTCGATGGGTGAAACAGATGACATCCGACCATGGATCTTGGATGCTGGCCAGAGCTTGTATAGGCGCTCCATTCTGGATGCGCTCCCAGGTGGCACCTGCTTCACGCCTTCGAGCGTATACAGTCTTGAGCCAACCCCACTTCCTCATCCAGCCTGCCTTTGTGGTTGCTGTATTGTAAACACCTGCCCTGACCTTGATGTCAACTCGAACTCCAAACCATTGTTGGTCTTTGGCCGGCAAGTCACGATTCACCAGCCACAAAGTGCGGTCACGGTTTCCCCAATCTGCAGCCGCGCCAGCTAGGGCGTGAAGGAGCTCTGGATCTACCTGGTCAACCTTCGGCTCACCATCATCTGTCAAAAGCGGCCAAAGCTCATCCTCCAAGTCAACGCGTTGAGACTCATCATATCTCGTCTTGTTCAAAAGCCTCGGTGGCGGGCCAGGAGGTGGAGGATGATCAGGCGTATGAGGGCTCAAAATCACTGGTGAAGTCGATGGGCTCTCTGGCTTCTTCGGAGCAGCTGCACTCTTCGGCCTAGTACTTGGGGGACTCCTTGATCTTGATCTACCCCTTTTGGACCTTGGCCTAGGCTCAGGCACATCTGAAGTTCTCTTCCTCCTCAATGGGCTTCGAGACCTTGCGCCGCGGCCTGCAAGGGTCGATACAACGTCAGTCAACTGTCGTAGAGCATGTTCTCGTTCGAACTGCCAGCTGGGGGATCATCTGTGGGCATTTCTTCTTCTCCTTCTTCTTCTGGCTTCACGTCTTCCTCAACAGACTCAACAACTCTGATGTCTTCATCCTCACTCTCATCGTCAAATTCTGGCACAGGACGTGCTGAAGCTGGGGCCGATGCGGCAGATGATCTCGGGGCTGCTGTCGACTTTGGGCCGGACTTCTGTTTGGGTTCCAATGTAGGAGGCATAGCCTTCGGCGGATGTCTCCAAGGTGCACCCTTGTCCGATGAAGTGGTTGTTGCAACTGGGATTGATCGAATGCTTGACGTCTGGTTCGGGGTCAAGACAATAGGAGTTGAAACGGCTTCTGGATGTCCTGGACCACACAAACTGCACCTGCCTCCACAGCTCATCTGGGCCCACTCTGGACTGTGCTGGTGGATGATCTTGCAAGAAATGCCTTTGGCCTTCAAATGTCTGTATATGATGATCGAACCACCAACGCTCCTATGCCTTCCGCTCTTGCACTTCAAGTCGATCACACCACGGTCCTCCTCATCACAAAACCTGTCGACCTTTCGAAGAATTGTGTCCAGCGATCTCTTGCCTCGAAGAAGTCCTTGAACAATCTCAGGATGGCGGCCTACGTGGCCTCTCAGGCTCACGTTCTGTTCCGGATCATGAAAATCCTTCGTGTTCAACTCCAGGATCGGATACGAATTGCTTCGAAAGTTGATGCGATCCGGAAACCTCTCGCCACCAGTAATGATCAAGAACTCTCGCGGTTGCAGGCTCGATACCATGGTGTCCAATGCTTTGCTGACTTCGGTCGCAGAATTGGCCTGAAAACCTCTCTCGCCATTCCATCCGCGTTCCATCGCGGGATACGCAGTGCGAAAACGTCTGTGGCACTTAGGGATCACTTGAAGTTCTGAGGTTTGTTGGAAATTCTGGATCAACTGTTGTGGGGTGACTGCCAACATCATGAGACCTGTGTGAACACATCGGTATACCTTGAGATGGTTACCATCTATGCTGACAATACCATTCTTGAGATCTTTCACCAATCCTAAATGCGTTTGTGCATGAAGAGACAAAAGCAGCGGAGAACGACCTTTCGAAAGCTGGTGGGACTCAAGGACACCATGCACGGGTTTGCCTGTCTCGAAATGCAACGAAAATGGCAACGTGCGGGATCCCTCTGTGGTGGTCCCATTTTCACCTAAACCGGCAAAATTCTTCGATGTCGTGGTCGAAAAAGGGAAGTCGTATCCTAGCTTCTTCAACTTGGCCTCAACAACGTCTCCCCAGTGCTTCGAATGGCAGGTGGAATTACATCCCTCGTCGAGCACGATGTAGATGTTTCTGTCGTCTGGGTTGTACATGTCTCTGGATTCATGAAAGATATGCACCAGACCGTCCGTCATGCGAGCAGGTTCCTCCCCATGAAAACAAATGCCGATCCCTGCAAAAGGGTCTGGATCTTCGGTGTAATCAATCATGGTGAACGAGTCTCCTTTGCTCTCTTCGATGGACTGGTGGAGGAGCTCGTGCAGCTTGATCGAAGTCACGGCCTCGGTTTCGGCCGCCAACGCGACTTGGGCGGCAAATTCAGTCAAAATCTTCTCAAGCATCTCGGGGGTGTGTCCTTCTTCGGGTTCCTCTTCGACCAAACGTTCAATCATTGGGATCCTATCGAGCGGTGCGTTGACGACTTTCTCAGAGGCTGCCTTCCTAGTCTTTTGGAGCTCCATCGGAGTCTCATCCAAAAACGAACAACAAAGCTTGCAAAACACACGGTGAACAGACCTGGAAGAACCTCGAAAATCGGTGTCCGAGTGCGGGCAATCGTCATATGCAAACTTCGGGGCTTGCTCTCTACGCTCGGTGGTGGAGTTCCCACAGACAAGGCATGTCTTCTTGATGGTGTATGCTGTGCTCCCTTGTTTGGTGAACTCGGAACAATTCTTGCGTTTCTCTTTCGGTGGATATGGTGGTTTCTTCCTTGAGGACCCTTTTGGGATTGGCTGCAATGACGATGAAGAAGAAGCACCACCAACCTTCCTGAAAACTGAAGCTCCCCTGTATTCAAAATGCTGATCAACCCACGTGACGAAAGCCGAAGCGATTGGACTCTTGCCATTCTTGATGGCCCATTGATGGTAGTCGGGATGTTCGTGAAGGATCTGCCAAAACGTCTTCCCCCTGAACTGTCCAGCTAAGAACTTCCTATCGCTCCCCTCAGGCCTTACGAGGTCGTTGGGACTCACTGGTGCCTCCGGACGAACTCCTGAGCTGGCCTTCACGGCCATGTGAGCAATGCTGTCGGTTGGAGACGCCGCACCTAGAAAAATCCCTTCGTCCTCGGATGAATCACTCATGTGGGCAATGTGTGCAGCAGGTTTCGGGGCCGATCCAGTCTTCGGGGCATTGGGCATCTTACATTGGGGGTCTCCGGCCCAGTGACCTAAACCACCACAACGAAGACACTTGGATTTCGCCTTGATCTCGGACAGTTTCTGTCGACGTTGCTCGATGCTAAGGTGAGACTTCACTATCTTACCTTTGCCTTTACCTTTCCCCTTGAATTTATCCTTGCCTTTGCCTTTTGCCTTCCCGAAAGCGACGAATGCGGCAAGCTGCAATTGGATAGCATCACCTGAGGAACGTTCTTCGGCATCTTCGCAATCAACTACTGCATTCAAGGCAATTGCTTCATATTCATCAACATCATCATGATACTCAAAATCTTCGTATTCAGTATGGCTAGCATGTTCATGTTCTTCAGACTCTTCAACCCCTCCTAGCATGCCTACGAAAGAATCTTCTTCATGATGATGCTCCTGCAAGTCCTCATCTCTCCAATCGAAATTGTCTTCCCAATCGGGATAGATGGCATTGTAACCAGCACGAGGGTATTGGCTACCTTTACCTTGGTACCCCTTCTGGTACCCTTTGCCTTTACCTACCTGAGGCTGAATCCCCCGTCCTGTCCAGGATCGGGACCCTTCACGAAGATGGATTCCACTGTAGTTGTCAACCAGGACTCGTGCAGTACCTTCGAAGTCATCGCTCTTGCGGCAAGCCTTCACCACAAGGATCTCCTGCCTGGAAATACCTGACATCTCCAGCAATAGCTCTGTGCGGAAAGCTTCTGAGATCATCATTGTGGGGTCAAGCTCAACCAACAAGGTCCACCAGCGTCGTCGACGCTGAGTGTACGACAACATGCTCTCTGTAGGCTGTCTCGACAGTGGTCCTCCATGCTTCTGTCCTGCGCGAAAAAGCTCCTTACTCTCCTCCAAGGCTCGAGGAAACACATGATTACGTATCACCTCGATGAGACGCTCCAGTCCCCCTGGACGTGCAAGTGTCTCTAGACCTAAGTCTCTGGCAAGCAAAAATGCATCACCTCTCAAACCTTCTACGATCTTGTTCACTAGGACACTGCGATCGATGATGCTCGACTTGTCTGACTTAACGGACGAAGCCTTCGGTGATGTTGCATCAACCTTCGACTTGGGAGTACCGGCAGTCTCACGCGGCTCGGGCTCAAACTCCTCGGGATAGTGTCCAGGCGAAGGGAATGCGAATCCTTCGTCTGACTCTGGTGGCCAAGGCTCCCCTTCGTCGGCAGGTCCAGTCACGGGATCCTGCTTCTTTGCTGGTTGCGTTTGGGCTTGGTCGTACAGCTTGATGCGGAGTTCGGTTCGAAATTTCCAATCATGAAATGATGCAGGATCTCCCCAATAGATGTAAGACCCACTCTTAGTTTCCAGGGGGTTGCCTATTCTATCACCAGTGCTACCCGAATGGAACTTGAGTCCAGCAATGGACATGTTCGACGATTCCGACGGAGATTGCTCGGGCGAGCAATCTATTCCGGGCTCTGTCCCCAACGGGATCAGAGGAGGCAAGCGAAAGCACGCAAGGAATGCAAGCTCAGGCTTGATGTTCTACGATTCCAATGACCTGGATCAGTACGTGCCGGAGTCAGGCCGTCACCTGCTCCGCTACCAATGTCGGTAGCAACCGGAATCGTACTGTCCACACGCTCTTTTCACTGCGAAAGCGAGCACGGTATAGCTCAAGGGCCCTAGGAGCCAAACGGCGGCAGACACAACATAGTGTGACAACCTGGCTCAACAGAATGAGATCCTACCTCAAATTCACAATATATATATATATATGGTTGATTCTCTACTGAACCTGAGTGAACCTATAGGTCCCACGAAACTGGTACTGTAACCACCTTGACATCCAAATGCTGGGCAAGCGTGCAAGGCTTCAAATTCTGGCTCCTGCTCCAACTCCTGGCTGTGATACTTTTCAACCGAATCGGATGTCTCACTCCCAAATCATTTCGAACTAGGGAGGAATCTGGCAAACTTTTCCAAGGAAACTCTGATTGACGGTTGATCAGGATGGCAGGTTCCCTGCAGGATGGCAGTGGGCTGAAACTCAAAACGCTTGAGCACCTTCATCCGCTTGGCAAAGTCCTGCCAAACAATGGGCCAAACGCTCTGAACTTACAGATGGCTATCATTCAGAGTGCAGTGGATATGGAAGACACAATAGTTTCATCAGCGATGCAAGTTGCCTCGACCTTTTAAGGTAGAAATTCTGGGCTGGTGAAGAGAGGCAAGGTGGAATTATCTGAAGATGTGTTTTGAGAGCCTGTAGTGCAACTGTCCTCGTTGCTGCTGTCAATTTGATCTTGCCAAACATCGGCCATGGCTCCTGAGCTAGACCAAATGCAGAAATAGAAGCAACTGCGCTTGCCACGAGGACCCCAATCCGAGCACGGTGCTCATCATCTTCTGCCTCCGAATCTTGTCCGGGTTGGTCGAATGCTCAACAAGCCTTGGCAAGGATGCCAAGACCGGTATTGTCAGAATGCGCAGTGCCTCAATTTGACAAATGTCCATAGCTGTAACAGAAAAAGCCCAAAATCTATGGAGTCCAAGTCCATGATCCGATAGTGCTGTTGCGTGTCAAGCTGAGCAATCGGTCGAGCTGACGTCTTGAAGTTCCCAGTTCAGCTCCAGACTTCTTGGTCTCTGCGGGGTTGTTTTGAAGATACCTGTTGCAGATATGGCAAGTACAGCTAGCAACAAAGGCAGGCTGAAAAACTTGCACCTTACCAATGAAGGAAAGCAAGCAAGGCAGAAGGAGACAGTAGTGATATATATATATATAATTAGATTGTTTTGTTCGTCTTTTTTCGCAAGGATGACAGAGCAACTGCAACTCAGTAAGTGTTGTTTCTGAATTCCACCCATGTCAGAGCCATGAACAAGCATAAAGCTCAATCGCTGGTTTTGGACAAATCAATCACCAGAGTCCTTCCATTCGTTGGCGCACATCTTGGTCTGTTGCCACTGCTCTTCGCTCATCTTTGGACTTCGGAGCATCTTGAGGTCTGTGCCATCAGTCAGCACGACCTACAACTTCTGGCGAGTTTTGGCCCCACGACATGGTGTGTCTGGGATAAATAGGCTGGCTGTGCACTGGCATCATGCATATCAACAGGAAAATACTACAACAGTGGATAGAGCGCAGCGTGAGTTGAAACCATAGCAAAGCAATGCAACATGATTGTCCATTGCTGGGTCCGACGATTGCACACCCAAGCATATATCTGGTCTATGCGGTGTCCTTGTACACTGTGTTGAAGCCTGCTCCAGCATCATGTCATCCTCCGCCTTCTCCGCAGTTGCAATGGCGGGCCTCATTTTTCAAATTTGGTTTGAAGCAGAGATAGAAGCAAGGAAAAGAACCTGTTCCCCTTCTGTTTTGTCATCCATGTGTGTTGACCGAGTGCCAAGCATGGTGCCGCCATCTCCATAGCCCATCACGGTTTGGCGGATGCTTTTAACGCCCCAAACCGTTCTCTGAGCCGTACACCCACCGGGTAATCATGACCATATAACTACCGGCAGGCACACATGACCACGTTATATACCTGTGTCCAAAGGTCACAAAAACAACATCGTCCAAACATGGATATGGTTTGCAGGCCCTGCAGAAACAGATCCGTCTTCTGGAGCAAGTTTCATACACAGTATCTGCAACTTTGGTCAGACAAACTCTGCACAGGTTGCACTCTCCGGTTTTCCAGGAATCACACGCACTCAGAGAGACCAAGCAAGTAAGACGGCTGGCAAAACAGCCAGGGCTGAGTCACCGTGCTCGGCTGACCTGGATCGCTGTGAAGGCAACAGAACAAGCCTTGTTCTCCAAAGTGCAATTTTGCTCAACTTGGTTTGGTTGCCAGTGCTGTTTTCTCAGATGTATGCAAAAGTGAGATTGCAGCAGCAAGAGCCCGAAGAAGAAGAAGAAGAACAACCACCACAGGAACAACAAGACCAGGCGCCTAAACAACCGGTACCTGCAACCTGACAGCTACATCCCTTGACAATTTGAGCGCGAGCCTCTCGGAGCACTCCTCGGAGCGAGTTGAGCCCGTCTCGCCGAAAGGCTGGCTCTGGCAGCGAAGGCAGCTCGAGTGGGGAGGAAATAAGGCAGTGTTTTGTGACACATATGATCGAAGTAGTTTCGAAAGCATCCAGATCGCGGATCTGAAGTATACACATGTCCGCAATGCATAACGTGCATTATTTAGTCAAGTGTAGTGCATACCCTTCAAACATCAGGCTTGCCAATAAAGAAATATGTATATACCAAACCCAGAAAGCATGTGCCTTCTGCAGGCGTGACTGATGCAGGCTGCCGTGATGCAGATACTGGAGACTCAGGTTGAAGTGGAGCTTGTGCAGGTGATGATGGCGAAGATGCAGGCTCTGCAGGTTGCAGAGGTGGTTCCGGCACTTGCTCCTCCAGCATGCGGCACGAACCGCAAATGGCAAGTGTATAATGGGCTCACACGCATTGAGAGAAGAATATGCTCTCACGCTGCACTCTCCCGATACAATGTGTTGAATGCCTTGATAATCGATGCACTCCCTTGCAAGCAAAAACCAGCTGACTGTGTGTCAGAAACCTGAATCCTGCCCTTCTTCCAGGACAGGAAATCTTTTGTCCCTGCTGCAAGTATACATGTGATTGCAACTACTTCTTGAATTCGATGAGCATATCTCCGTCAATTCGAACATAAATGCAGAACGACAAAAACTGACTTGATTTCCCATGACTTCATTTTGCATGACATACAGCTTGCAATATTTGGGGGGGGGACTGCAGCTAAGCTATCCTATTCACAGCTATGATCTTCAACGCCAGGGCAGGAGAGCAGTTGTGAGTCGTGAGTCATGCGAGAAACGCGTCGCTCGTCCGTTGACCTCAAAGCGTGTAGACGGTGTGGAAGATCCGCCTTGATCATGATCCACAATCGTTTGCAGACTTGGCAACTTGTCGTTTGTAGACTCTAGCAGCTGTAGGTAACAAGCTAGACACTGCTTATCTGTCAATCGGTAGCTGACGCAAATCTTAATGAAAGCTGGATGAAGAAGCTTGCTCTTAGTGAGGTGGTTCCCAACGTCACTCTCCCAAACGCGCCTGCAGCCTGAACCTGCCAGCTGAATTCTGGATGTCTTGGGTGAGGACCCTTGAGCTTTCACGACACCTAAGCCATAGATGATGGGGGATGGCAATGGATTCTATATATATATAATGAAAGGGACAAGGGTTCCGGGATATCAGCCCCAAACAGCCACCA